GCCGCAGAGGCCTTCAGCCGAAACGGCCCCTCCCTCTCTGGGTTCAAACCCCAGAGATCCAACCAACCAAATTCCTTTGGACAACTTGCCTGACGGGATAACCTCCCATCAGCAGCAACAGATCCCAGTTTGAATGGTCGAGGCTCCAGCCACGGCGTAACCCTGTTAGCGTGAGCAAAATTTCCGTTTTTTATATTAAGACAGTTTACCATTTCCAGCAATGCGCCTTGAGTGCAGGAATGGTGTCACCTAGGTAGGGACGATGCTTGCGCTTGCGCAGGCCTCCGCCCTCAGTTAGCTTTTTGGTTGGTTGGTTGCCTATTGGCATATTCATCGCCCTGATGACGGAGGCAGTATGACCTCTGAAACGTCGGTTAACATCGACCAGACTACACAGCGCAATAACCCAGAAGACAGAAATCTTAATATTTACAAATTTATGTCAATTTTATTTTAGTAATTGTCCTACTTCCTCTACCAGGATGCTGCACGTTCTCCGAATGACCAAAACCACAGTTGCCTATCCACACACAAACCCTGACATTCTAATTTTTACACTTAATAATGTTATGACCCAAGTCTGAACTCTCAAAATTGATTCAAATTTAAAACTTGGTGATTTTTGTGTTTCTATAATCTTCCACAACCTCTCACTAACTATACAACACCACATGTCACAAATTAGGGAACACTGAGCAACACCACTCATTACCTTGTATAGTTTCTACAAGAGCATTGATCTTCATCTTACCTGCTGATTAAATCAAGGTTAACCAATGCATTCTCATTATAACGTCACAGTGTGAATCAACCCCACAATCTCCTACCTATGCATTCATCAAACTGACACTTCTCACCACAGTATCTAATAAGTCAAACATACAATCAATTCAACAAAGTTCAACACTTTTTAAAAATGTTATATATATTTTAAGAATAAAAAAATTCTAAGAATTTTAAGAAGTTGCCCTCGGTGGTCTAGAAGTTGCATGCTTGCCACTGGACCCGGCCGAGGACGATGAATTTTTAAGGGTTATAAAAATCAGTAGCATGACTTCCTTTGGAGGGGAAGTAAAGCCATCGGTCCCATGTCGTAGATTTATGACATTAAAAGGTCCTTACAAGCATAAAATAGATGCTTGATAAGCAAAATTCAGTGGTCATGTTTCTCACCCATGTCTCTCCTGCTTCACTACCAGATGACTCTGGTCGTCATTTCAGGATCAAATAGAAATTGTGCAGAGGCAGCAGGCCTGCCACCTACTACTCTAAAGCACTAATGAGGCTAACATATTACAAGTTGACTTGATCAACTGTCATTGGAACAGGCTTTAGCCTAATCCTTGAAGTGAAAATCAAGAAATGGAAATCACTGTAACATGCTACAACATTAAATCATAAGTGTGGCTTCTCATTTCCTAAAAATGGTTAATTTACCTTGCCAAATCCACTACACTTCGGTTCTCTGGAAGTTGGAACACAAAGCCTGGTGCCGGGTAATCCACAAGTTGATAACAGGGACCACTTAAATGATCAACTTTCTGTAAAAAGAAAAGATATGCACAATACATGCCTCATACAGTCACAAATATCTGGCACAGATAGCAGACACAACACACGCCCACAGGAACCTTTCAGAAATAAGATACTCAAAGAAGGCAGCTCAGATATAACACCAGTATATTGGCCAAAGACTTTAAATGAGCCTAAACTGAAAAATAAAATCAGAAAAGTTTACTACCACAAATGTTCAATGTAAAATAACATATATCTGACTCATATGCAATCTCAGAAAGATTCAAGATTTTTCAACAATCCTGATCAGTCCAAATCAAAAAATTTCAGTTTGGATTAACAAACAGGGACTGCAGTAATCCCACTCTGTAAATGGATGATGTTATGCTTCATCGTGTTGGCAAAGCTTCTAAACACAAATGAACACTCTAGCATCTTGTTTATTTCTGTATATTAATGAAACAGTACATGTAGTTCAAAAGACAGGTATCAAGAAAAGAGTATGATCTGAAGCTTTCATGGCAAATAAGTAAAATAATTCTTCTTGGCCTACCAGCCGCGTAAAGCCGTTCAATGAAGAAAAGACCTCACACGGCTTGAAGCCCAAGAAGAATTCATTATATAAAGAAAACAGGTTATGATGGTACAGATTACATTGAGCTAAATCATGACAAGAGTCTAGTACTATATATGTGTTTGAATAGTGAGATTTTAAATTCTGCAACTCAAAGGAAGAGCAAGTGAATGACAGAATGAAAGTAGGTACATGGATGAGTGGGTGAGCAAGTGGTTGGACAAATACGTTGATCTAACGACTAATATGACAACACAAATATGTCCATACTCACAACATTCTCCAACAGCATATGATGGTGCAGATAGTACATATGGTAATGCAAATGATTAACTGATGCAAAAGCACAGAGGCCATTAAACCCCACTCTCAATGCCCTAAAAAAAAGTAACACACTAGTACTAGGTCTGTTCAAGGGCAGTGATTATCACTCTCAGAGGCGCACTTCACTTTCATGTTACACTCGACTTTTAATTCAGTGCATTTTTTCCACAAACCAAATAAAAATTAAAATTAAGTAATGATGTAAAACAAAAACATTAAAATCTTTGCTAATCTTAGATCAATTAATATTAAAATTTAATGTAATGCAAACTCAAATACTATCTTACACTTTATTTATTTATTTCATATCCAAATACACACCATTCAAAGTATCATTAAATAGAGTAATATTAATAACATAGAAATAAAGTAAAGGAGGTTGGGGAAAATTTAGTATAGAATAAATATAAAAGTAAGTTTACAACATATATACAAAACTATATCTGAAACCAATATCGGGCATGAAGAACGGCAGTGTCTGTACATGTAGCCAAATCTTCACTTGTGCAGGGAGAATCTAAGATGGGGCAAGCCAGGAGGTGATCCATTGTCTGTGTTTGTCCACAAGAACACTGGCCAGACACACGAGGATATTATCTTATACTGAGGTTTTAATACTTGTGCTGTGCTGTGCAGAAGTATGTGCACTGTTCACAGATTGAGAGATAGTGAGGCAAGTTTAGTCAAGTGCCCAACACTACTATGCTCACCAAAACAATTGTGAGTAAGCATTGGTACGACTCAAACAAAAGCTATGTTACATTAATATTATAGTAGAATACTGAAGGCTACCTGTTCTCCCACCACAACTGACTCGCCAAATCTCAATGCATGGATACTACACAGTAGACCACCAACTAATACTTGCTAATTATAGACGTAGATAAATAATGTGTGTTTTACAGTGTTTTCAGATAACTATTAAACTATGACTTACGGAGATCCACTAAGAAGCAGGACTTCTACAGCAAGCCGTATGCTTTCCAAGTTTGCCACCTGTGGCAGGCAACTAAACAGGCCTGGCAACAGCAACGTATGTCCATACTCTAAAGGGCTCACATTGATAATGAGGAAGTGTCCCACAGATTCATCTGCAGAATTTCTCTTAATTTCAAACAGGTATTCTTCGTTCTTAACGTTTGTAAAGTTGAACTTTGTGGCATCGAATGGCTGAGATACGCATGTTATTTCTTCAGGTGCCCGTCGGTTTAAATGTCTGTCAGTATTCAGCTGTAAACACAATACTATGTTCAATGTCTGATTTACTAATTAATTGATGAGCAAATAAACAGTGGTTTATTAAATGCTGAGGTTATAAAATATCAAATGAGACAGAACATGATTATTATGTGTGTAAGAAAGAATTTGAATTGTCTAAAATTAATGCTTTATCTTTTCTACTTATTTCAAAACATGTCAAACATTAAGAGATCATTTACTTTATTTCTGTTCTCTTTTTATATTCTCTTATAAGGAGAATGAAGTGAGAAGTAAGCTAAGTCCACAAAGAAAAATCTTTCCTGAGAAGATAATGTGTCTTAGATGGTCAGGAAATCCCAATCTTTTACCGAATCTAATGGTACATTATTGTGTTCATAAAAGCCCACCAACGGACAGTATCCTGAGCATCTGGCCACACAATTAATAGTTCTTAACAAGTTCACATTCAACATGAATACAGTATAAACACAGTATCAAAAAATTATATGTATTAAATTTTTCTGAGTCCTGTCTTTACACAACACACAAGTATTCTTTCTTTGTGTCTTAATGTAATGCCACATGTTTTAGACTGAAGATGGGCTAATCTGGCCAAAACATGTGTTACATTCAGACACAAAGAAAGAAAATTTTGTGTTGTGTAAAGACAGAACTAATAAACATTTAAACTACAATTCACACCATGACTCTGCTGTACAATCTTATAGAAATATGTTAAATCCTACAGATGATATATTCAGGCAGTCGATGATTTTATGAATGAACAAGCATGATGAAAATGCTCATTCATTTCTAATTAGCTGAAGATAAAACGAACCTGGGAACCATATGTTCAATGAATATATCCCGTAATACGAAATTACGTTCCGATTAAAGTAAATGTCAGCCACCCACTATAACAAAATATACTGTTCTTTACCTGTGCCAAAAATGAATACTTTCCTGGCAGTGTTCTCGAATGTTTAATATTTAAGCGATATCTAAAATACCCATTCTCCACTGCACTGTTCCATTGGGACTGGAGCCTAATGTCAAATTTGGTATTACTACTTTCAGCGGCAATCCTACGAATCTCATAAATAAAATCATCTTCACAATAAAACATCAACTTATGCGTATCGAATAAACATTCAACACTGCACCACACAAACGAAAGACATATTTATGCCTTTACAGGAATTCAGAACCAACGTCTACTTATACCGTGTTGGTCAAAGATCAGAATTGAGAAAGATGAATTTCTGATCAATATCTCATCATTCCACGTGCTCTATTTCCAGCCGATTACCTGTTCTCGATTTTCTCAGGGCTCTGAATATTTCCAAGTCAATTTACAACTTTAAACAAAATAGTTAGGTACGTTGGGTTGAACTACATTTTCAGTAATCTATCCACTGTCTTCGATTGTCTTTGAGAAGATAAACTCAAAGCATTCGTCAAGGGGCCTACAGCTAAAAGGTGCAATACGTAGCAAGGCCGAAGTTATGGACGTCAATGTAAAATAGTGTTAATTAATATCGGAGAGAAGAATCAAGGACTTTCAAATTAATATCCTAGCATGCATTTGAAGGATAAAGAACCGCGAATTACGGTTCTCAAACTGTGGTCAAGTAAGAATGTTTAGAAAATCAAACACAAACACGAGTTTTGCCCCTTACCTTGAGATTCAAAACAGTTTAATTTTAGAGTACAGAAGGTAGGTTTCTTCTTGTTTATCCCAGTCTAACAGATCAAAGGCAGGTTATCAGCTAAAGACAGTAAATAAATGTTATTCTACGACATACTTTCCTAACCCACTTTTTACATCATAATATTGTTCCTACAAACAGCATCGTATATTTATAAGCCGGTCGGATAATCAAACGCACTGCGTTTAAACGTCTCTCACTAGATGGCGGACGATATGCACGGCTGATGTAAAAATAAATACTTCATTATTACTTTTTACTACTAATCATTGTGGTTTTAGAACTATACTTTCCTATGAAAAATTTTCAGTATTAATATTAAACGTGGAGGGCATAGCATTATGAATTTAATCCAGATATGGAACCACCATCCCACAATATATTACTTTATACAGATGATCGAATCTGTAGTGTAACATCTTGATGTTGAATCTCCCAGATTCCTGTCTGCCACTTTCACATCACCACAGTTCAGTCAATGCCTGAACATAACCCAATGTGGCCATTGTCAGGTTCAAATACGTGTTTGAAGTCAGTACACTGAAAATCACTTCATTCTCCCAATGTCTCAAATAATTATAGAATTATAGGTTCTTTACAAGAGGTTAAAATAAAGACACAGTAACAGAGAACATATAGTATAATTAAGTACATATTTGAGGGCATACATTCATAGTGCCTATATACTTGCTAATGGAAATCTGAGGCAGTGTCACTGATTCTCTTTCCAGATGAACTCCAAGGATTAATTGCAACCAAATAAAACCAATATAAACCAATAGATGCAACTATATCATATATACAACACAAAAGACATAGCAATACAAAGATATGTATATACAAGTACAACAGTGATATTCAGTCTTTGAAGTTTACAGTACATAGCACATAGTGCCAAAATATTAAAACTGGTAAGATCAATACATACATGAAGAGCATACTTTCAAATTAATAATAAAAAAACTGTTTTACAAGATTCATCAAAGACAAAAAGAGGACAAAGAATTCTATAATGCTTTCTTTCAGATCCTAGCCAACTTCATACTTGTTGCTGTGTTAGTCTTCAGTTCCTTATAACCTTGACACCAATATGTGTAATGTAAACACTATGAATAAATGTCTGCAGAGTTCATGTTAACTGGAAGTGCTGAAGGTTAAGCAGCAACCTATAAGTACTTGGTTACTCAAAAACAAACTGAAATGTAAAAAGCAGTTTTTATCAAGTTTTAATGATGGCACAAAACTAGCACAATTCAACAATGTTCAATTTCTTTCAATCAAGTTTAAATGCCAAAAAAATGTGCATCATATAATGTAGTGGATACACAAAACATTTTTAAACTTCAAACTGTTGACATTTTGTTGTTTGGAAGATTTGTGTCTGCACATTTTGTGAAAAACTTCAAAATCCACAAACATATATCAACACAGCAATTCAATAGAACTTTTCAAAACGTATATATTAGAAAACATGTCTTTGGCCATCTAAAATCTTCTTAAAATTAGTTTGGGAAAACTTTATATGACTCAAAAATATCTGCTAATAAACAGGTCCATATAAAGCTTGTAGCCTAGAAAATAAACATAAAGTGGCAGCTCTGTTACAGTATAAAACCTGACATGACACTTAGAAAGAAAACATCTTACTGTCAGATCAAAGTTAAACATATAACATATTTTATACAGAATGATTTCATTTAAAAGATAAAATCTTTTTATTTTACTTATTCAAATATCTTTAGTTCTGAAAGCATGCTCCTAAAATATGTGATACTACTACAATTTCACTTGGAAATTATATGTAGTATAATAACTATATAGCTTGAAAAAGTGAAGAGTATTATTGTATACTGCTTAGTAAAGAGAGGAACCTGCTTGTAAAAATGCATCAACTCAAGATTTATAAGTACGGCATTGTTCATCACTCCTTCCTGTCACTGACTAGCCAGCTGTTTGAAATCAGTAAAGTGCCATTTTGAACATACTAAAGCAGCAAGCACTTGGTATTTGCTTCAGTGATTGCTGGATTTATAGTTTACTCATTTGGGTACTTGTTGGTTTATCGGGACACAAAACCGGAGAGTCGAATATCTGGACCTGCATACCCAAATAAAATATAATAATTTGTCATTTATTGAAATAAAATATAATAACTTACAAGTATATGTCATTTATCCACACACATTAACCTAACCTAACCTATTTTTAAAGCGATGTGTCCCGATAACCCACAAGTACTCTCATTTGCACCCTGTTCATACTGCAGACTGCATAATTTCTATATGACCATACTATCTAACACAAAAGAATTCACAACAAGAAAATTATATACTTTGACTTGTGTTCATTTTATTTAATATCTCCCTGAAACTATTTTGGAATGGGGGACATGATCACAGCCACAGTATATTGAGGTTTCATTGTATATAACAATGTCCTTCAAATTCAAACGTGAATTCATACGTTTTTAAATGTTTATATTAATCAGATTCTTTTACTTCGGTAACAATTACAGCAGACCCTTCTCCTTCACAGTTTTGCTTATTCGTGGAAAAATTGTGGTAAAATCTGTGCATTGCAGCATAGGTCCCTCAGTCACTCTTGTACAAGTGCACAGAGTAACACAACAGTCTGCATCTGCCCGCCTGTCTTGGTAGGTAAACGTGCAGTTATTAGAAATGACCGTCACCCTTGTGTTTGTATTCGATCACCCTGACAACTTTTACCTAGGAATGCTGATATCCCAAGAAATGCAAATCCTAACATTTTCATGCTTATTAGTCATTAATTACACATATTAAGCACAATGTTTCTTGTGTGTCCTTGGTTCCCCTAACCTCATTTTTACTTTTTGATCTGAAATTCATGTACCAGAGTTTTGTAATTTGTGGGGGGTTTTCAAGAATGCAACCCCTGTGAACAGCGAGGGCATGCTGTATTCCATAATATGTTTTGAGTTAATCAGAAGCTCTATAATCCCAATAAGGATCAATTATGCTCATAAACAATAACACAAGTCAGTCAACAATGTTACCCCATTGTACACATAAATCAAGCCAAAGATTGATGGCAAAATAAATGGTTTCCAGCCTCAGCACGGAGTATGATCCAAATCCATATTTTGAAGGGATCAGCAGCACCAGAGAAAGGTTGGAAATCACTGTTACAGGATGTCTTATAAATGCGTGGAACTAATCAAGAAGGCTCTGACCAAGCAAGTTTTAACTTACATGTTAACACACAACACTTACGTTTATGTTCACACAGTAACTACAATTTTAAATACTATGTACAACTATTATTTACAAATGCAACATGTTTAAAATACCTATTTGAGATTACTATTTTGTAAAAGAATTACAAACACACACGCAGTAATCTCACAACTGATAAGTTATAGTAAATGACAATGATTCTGGAATGAACAATTCCAAAACATAACTGTACTAGCAAATGGACTATTCATTAAATGACCAAGCAAACAAAAATTTACCTACATTAAGTACCAACATAATTCAAATGTTGAGATCAACGAATAATTTCACAGGAAGAAAGTCTTGTGCAATATCACAAAACACAAGGAAATAAGTACGTTATTTTCATAAAACTTGTTCTGTACAGAACTTATTTAGCCATATACTGAGCTTCCTAATGTTTCAAAATATGTTTCACATTGCTGTAATGTTAAGGGGACTGCTAACCATAAAAAGCTTCTTATATTTGCCCTCCCAGTTATCAGACATGGTCAAATCCAAAAGGTACAACATACAATTTCATCCACACGACATAGTACAAAAGGTCCCATCGTAGGTCAAACTGTCATATTTATCCAGTCTTTATTGTCCAACCCTTAAAATCATAATTTCCTATTATAAAAATTTCTCAGGCAAACAGCCACATCAATGTTGAGCCAAACACAAACATTCTGGAGATTAGCTATGTCTCCATCAGCAGGGTAACTGTGAGGAATGACCAAACTTGCTGATATATGTCAAACTTTGCAGCATCCCCTCCTTACTGGCATGATATAAGACTAGATGGTGGATTCATGTTGTGTGGTCACTACTCTTGCTTTGGCTACAGTGCTATGTTGCTAAACTCGGAGTATGATCTTCTGTCCCATCCTGTATCTGCATGCCATAGCTTTTCTCAGTAATCTCAGAATCTCACTCTAATACCGGGCCTACAATTTATGCTGTAACGGCCTTGCTTGCATTGCGTGCTCGGCCGAGTGCACTGTTGGTGTGGGATAGAGATGGCGTGTTATTCCTGTGAGTCACAGGCGAATCAGTTTCATTGCGTCTCTTGTCGCGGATTGACGTTGATAATATGGTGTACAGTATTAAGCAACAAATATTCATCCTACGGAAGATGCCGCCTTAAATATCGCAGAAATTTTCCCGGTGAAAGTGTTCCTAGCAGGCCCACGATAGAGAGATTAATAAAAAAAATTCGTAGTACGGGATCAGTTTTGGATAAAAAGAACAGGAAACTGAGTATATTGACGGAAGAGAAATTGGATGAAATTGGGGCTTTCTTAGAAAAAAGTCCAAGGAAATCTTTGGCACGTTTAGCTGCACAATCTGGCGTGTCATTGGGATCTGATCACACAGCAACGAGACTTCTGAAATTGCGACCATATAAGACCACTGTTGTTCAGAGACTCACAAATCCTGACACTGGTGCTAGGATTCGTTTCTGCAATTGGTTGTTGGGATCCGTGCATGATGGGATTGTTAATCCAGAGCTATTGTTTTTTAGTGATGAAGCATGGCTGCATTTAAGTGGATATGTCAACAGTCAAAACAACCGCTACTACAGTTCCAAAAATCCACATCAGTTGCATGAACATCCTCTTCATGACATTAAGGTTGGAGTCTGGTGTGCAGTTACCTCCAAGAGAATAATAGGGCCGATATTTTATAATGAAACAATAAATTCTGAACGTTATGTAAATTTAATACTTAGACCCTTTTTCCAAGAAATGACTGATGAAGAAAAGACTTACGGTTTCTTTATGCAAGACAATGCTACAGCTCACACAGCTAATCGGTCGATGTTAGCATTAAGAGAAGTGTTTGGTGAACAAGTTATCGATCAGTGGCCTCCACGTTCCCCAGACTTAAACCCGTGCGATTTTTACTTGTGGGGCATGCTGAAAAACAAAGTTTATATAAACAATCCGCACACTGCCGAAGAACTTAAAGAAAATATTCGACAACTGATTTCGGCAAATACCCCAGAAGAGCTTCGTCGAGTGTTTAGAAATATGTTAACGAGATGTGAAGCTTGCCTGCAAGCAGAAGGAAGTCACTTTGAACATCTTTTGTGATTTAAGGTAAGAACAATTAATGTAATAACATGTATTAGTGACGAGAAATATTCGTAGTTCGCTGTTACTAGCGGCACTGAAACTGATTCGCCTGAGACTCACGGGAATAACACGCAATCTCTATCCCACACCAACAGTGCACTCGGCCGAGCACGCAATGCAAGCAAGGCCGTTACAGCATAAATTGTAGACCCGGTATTATCAGTAACAGTCTATGTAATTGGTTTGTAATATTTTGATGGAGGGGTTCCATGCCTGATTAAGTTTGAAGTCTTATCTGTTGTTATTTAAAATGTAGTCATATTTCTAATGCCTCTAATTGATCCATGCAAACCAGTGATTTGGCCGATACCTCACACAGTGTTTACTCTGGCTTTTCCCTGTGAAGCAATTATAACATGATCAATATAATGCTGAGCTTAAAATATGGCTCTCAGCATCAAAGTGGCACAACACACCTATAAATGTACATGGGTTGAGCCACTTTTCCTCTTTATATTTATTCCCAGCCATTCACATACCTCATTCCATAACAACGATTATTTATCAGTGTCCAGATAAAGAATTCTAAGAATATAATGTTCTGGGTTGGGACAGTGTGTGCAATTTAAAGTGGACACCAGTTCAGAGAACCATACTGTCTGCAACTTCAGGGTTGAACATAAAGACAGCATGTCTCCCCAGAATGTTGGTATCTACCAATCAGTCTACGCCACATCACAACCAGAACTGCATCATCATCTTCACTGATGTGAGAACTTAAAATCTGCAGTTCTAAAAGAAGAATGGCCTGCATTACTGAACCAGCTGTGAAAATGCTGACCACTTCTGCATTTTGTTATACAGCCGTCAGCTAAAAGGGGGCCTGATCTTATTAACAGAGGTTACATCATTCTGCAACTATGGTACAGTGAGTTAACAAAATTCTGCCACTCCAATTCCATCTATTTTCCAGCATTTCAAAGAATAAACAAAGCAGAAAAGTCAATTTTAAAGGGTACTGTCGATGGTGTGTTACAATCGAGATCACTAAATTCTTGGACTATGTCCATCGTGTTTTTAAAAAGAACGCTACATTTCAGAAGCTGGGTCGTCTTCTGTCCTCAGCTGGATTTGGCAGAAAGAGTTAACCTCAATAACTGGTCCAGTGATTGGGGTTAGCTCTCGGTAGGTTCCCCTACCCCCTTTTTAACCTTAGGACGGAAGCAGATCCAGCTTCCGAAATGTATCGTTCGTTTTAAAAAACAGACAATGGACATAGCCAAAGAATTTAGTAATCCTGATTAAAACAGAAAAGGAATGTAAACTAAACTGCTGGTCAGATACTTTAAAAACTTCAGCATACAAGAATATTGATTCATCATTAATAGCCTATATTTCATTCGGAGATTCTAGGTTAAAACGTGCAGTGAATAGGCAAACATTTAATTTATAATACTCTCTGCACTTTATAATAATGCAAACAAAATCTGGCTATGAGGCTGTATGAATAAATTTGAAGTCCTGTTCCTTAAATGTTACAGGTTGGAAACAACGTGTTCCAAAAATGACCAATTCGCACTGTTGCACAACAATTCACTCAGGTCATTGCTGCTCACGTTCCAATAATGGCCTGTTCCCATTGTTGCACAAAATTTAATCTGACATTTAACTTTCTCCAAAATATTTATTTTTCTCATATTTTTACTGCAAATAAATTTCATGCCTAAATAAATCATAGTAATTTCATTCACTAATTTATTAGTATAGCATTTATACTTGAAAGTAAGTACCCTCTTGTCTAACCCTTACTCAGTTTTGGACCTTTTGTGTCAATGGATTGAAGTAATGGCTGGAAAATTTCCTCCTTTGGACATTAAATTTATTGGACCTGTTGGATTGGACCACATGTCCTAGAAGGCCCCATCCCTACTTTAAGCAATGCCTGAGCTATTATGCCACCATTTTCTCATTATGCAAGAATCTTATCTTAGAATGTCACTGTACTTCAATCAATAACACCACAACAGAATTAAGGGCATATTTAACTTTCCAACTCTTGCAGCTTCCTCTTCACTCTTGTTTCTGCTCCAGGTGAGATGACAGCAGTATTCAGAATCTTATTCTTGAGCTCAAAATAAGACTCAAGCCTTTCAATTGCATATTCCTGAAAAGGCAAGCAACAAGGTAATGTGAAAAACCTTGGTAAGTTCAAGTATGTAATGACTACAATTCTTGCTATATCTATTGAAGCTTTAAAATTAAATAAATCTATATGGGGGATAGCTGATCTTTGGCCTGAGATTCAAAGCGAGGACCTGACACATTGAAACAAGGAGTGCTAAACATTACACCCTGATATTCAATACAATGTCATATCAAATGCCAAGGCAATGTAACAGAAAATAAGGACATTTGTGATATCCTAAAACATTGTTCCAGGAATTAATCTACATGTCAAAGATTCTTAAAATACTGACTTGATGCAGTTATTAATATTACCCCTCCCTGCAAAGTTTTGAATTTGAGTCAAAACACTTGCGAATTTCAAATACTTTAATAAAATTCTAAATCCCGGCTATGAATTTTCATTCTGTGCACTTTTTGTGCAATGTTGTGTGATGAAGCAGTTGCAAGGAAGTCTGAAATATTTATTCCAATGCCGACTCACTTCAAACTGCAAGGAAAATTTTTTATCTAATGAAATTGGTGTCATGTACGGGGCAGGGCACTGGTATACTCTACTTATACAAGGTACAGAAATGGCAAAGCAAAACACAATTACCTACAAAAATTCCTGAAGAATTGCCTGCACAGACAGTGTGGTCAATGTTCATGGTTTCCTGCATTTTAATAATTTAAGAATGAATATATATTATGTTATAAAATTCTGACTTATGTTGTTCAATGAAGTAACTCATTTATTCTAGGAATCATACAAAACCATAAATATAAAATGTCAAAATGAGTTGCTGACTGTTTAAGAAGGTGGTACATATGATATAGTTATCACTTGGCTTTAAGGGGCCATAGAGGAACTGGGGGGAGGGGGTATGATTTCTACATGTTCTTGACCTCAGCATGAGATGGGGCATAAGTGCCTCTTTGCCCTTGAAAGGGATCAAATCCCAATCATCCAGTCCACAGCCAGACACTATACTGACTCAGCTATACAAATAATCAAAGTACTTACACAATAGCCAAAGGGAATTTGAGAAAGCTTTGCATTCACTGCACTCCACAGACCCCAGAAAAAATGAGAGGCAAGACAGAACGCTTGTACTTCACACAGCAGTGCCTCCTCATCCCTCTCCGTCGACTGCTCGCCCCGGCAACCCATATTATGGAAGTAAGTATGCACAAACAGAAGCTGTCAAAATAAGAAAACAGTTAATAAATATGAAAACACCAAATACAGAAATTGGGAATTCAGGATACAGTTATGAGCAAATTAACTATTATAAGTAGAAATGTATTGTCACATCATTTGAAAAACTACTAGATACCTTTGATAAAATATAAAAAGGGATATTTACTTTTAAACAAAGACATTTTGAATGGTGTAGTATGAAAATAAATATCATAGCAATACAATGCTTGACACATCTACCAATGTTTAATATTAATATTATTCTACTCTAAAAATAATTAAAAAACTCTTTTGTAGAAAGATGGTTAATAATAATGATACATAATTAAAAGAAAGTGAAGACTTGCGCCAGAAAATAGAGAACTGAAAGAATGCATACATAGTGAAATAAATGAAAGGTGGAAATATACAGGATAAAACAGAGTAGAGACAGACAGTAAAGAAAAAGCACTGAATTGTAGCAACATTGCTAAAACAGATAATTCAGAATCAGTCAGCATGCAAGTGTACCAGAACATCTGAGACGTGTTAAAAATCAAAAGTACATTTCCAACAATTGTGCAACCGTAATGCAATGTTACACATCTGCAAGAGACAGTAAAAACCCTCTTAATGACCACAGTCTTTGGGCATTTTTAATACCAACTATAAATCTTGAATCATGGTAAGTGGCTAGTAACATACTGCTCTCAAATAACATTTTACAGCAAGCTCTAAAATCACTGTGGCCAACCAGGGGTGGTACTTTCAGTCTGAAATAAACCTGTTTTACCTCAGTATCCCTCTCCCTCAAATGGAAATAATTTTTTTTTGAAACATTTGTTTCATACGGTGAGCAATTTGTAAGAACTAATAAAACGTGCCTTTACGTAATCAGTTCATGCAATAAACCTGGTTATCATGGTAGGCCATGAAAGAACATCTGAATGTCCAAGTTGGTTGAAAATGTATTCTTCTATAAACTTATTTTAAATAGGAAAAATTATAAATAAATAACAAACAAACAAAACTAAACTTACTCTTACAATATGCAAAGAGAAATGAATAGTTATGGCTATAATGTTTTGTGTAGTCAATACTTATTCATTCTGCTAAGAAATCAAAATTATTTATGTACTGAATGAATAAGCAATCAATTCTAAGGCCTCGCTATTCACGGTTATTACACACACTAAAGGGACATTATGTACATATAAACTGTTAGCAGTGCTAAAAACAAAACAAATCTGATTTCAATACTCTAAATACAATCAAGCCTTTTTCCTTTATCAGTATTATTATCCTTGCTATCTCACGATGAAACAAGTGATGCCTTTGTTACATAAATTACCTACTTTGATAACGATCACATCAAAAAATCTTATGCTCAGATGTAAAGTAGTTGTTGGAACTGTCTGATAAAAATTTCTGTAAATTTTTCAATTACACATTTGTTCAAAACTGGTTCATCAGTTTTAAATTCTTTTATACACATGGTCAAACAGATAAAGCTATTTTAAAAGACACTCTGCAGGGTCATGTAGATACCTATAAGTGAACATTCTGTCATATTTACAGATAATAAGAATATTTTACGTATCAAAGAACCTTACAATTTTACTTTACAGCAACTGCAGTTATCACGGCAACTTCCTATCCAAGAACGGTGTACAGGTCAGGAGAACTAGCTTAAGCTCACATACTAATGATAGAGTAGCATTCCATATTATTCACTACATGTTTTGAGAAACATTTTTCCAATAGGCAACAAGACTGATGCTGTCATGCACAAGTGAAAAATACAAGCATGATTTTGCTATGAATGGTGCTTCAAGGAGAGTAGCATTCAATGTACAGAAACAGGGACACTGAAAGTTGAAACAGACCCATATGTGAATGTGTTGATACTGAAAGC